ACCTCCAAAAATAAAATAAAATTCTGATTTACTCTCAAAAAGTCAGCTTTTTAAATTGTTTCACTATAGAGTTACAACAAATAGCATTATACTCTATGCTCATTAATTTATCAAAACACATAACTTTTTAGGAACATATCACCACATAAATCAGGTCTGCCATAACTTACATAAGTTTAAATCGAAAAAGAAACAAAACAGTGGGAACTTCAAGGAATGTACTACTTACAACAGGAAGAAAGTTTAAGCCAATAATTGGGGTTGTCTACCTTGTCACTGGCTCACCTTCTGATCAGGCAGGAAGGAGAAGAGAAAATAGAGGGGTGTTTGTGTGACTGGCTTTTAGCCACTCTCCTAGAAGCTCAGATGAAGGACATGACATCTGCCACTAAACCTCAAAGTCTTAAAAAAGTATCCCTGAATGCAAGGGTCTCCAGTGATGAGAGCAACTTTCTTGCTAACAACCACACTGTATATTCATATCACCCAGGAGTAGCTAAACTTTTTTGCAAGTTTATTATGTTCCAGGAACTCTTCCAGGCTCCTCAAAGATTCTGTGAGGGAAGGACCACTGTTCTTCCCATCTTACAGACAGGGTAAAAAAATTGAGGCCCAGAGAGCTGAAGAAAATGAATTGCCCGTGATCACTCAGCTCTTCGGCAGCAGAGCGAGGGGTGGGCTGCAGGCAGCCTGCAAAGATGCTCCAAAGGGCCTGCTCCTGTCCCTTCTGTTTCACTGCTCAAGAACAGAACATCAATGTGAAACTCTCATTTCCTTAGTTCTAATAATATCACTCCTCACACTGAAAAGAGACTCCTTGCCTGTGCACAGGGCAGAAAAAAAGCATCCGGGCTCTGAGAAAGCTCTCCGTGGCTCTCAGGCTGCCCCTCAGTGTGGCTGGCGGGGCCCACACCCCCGAGCGGGGGAGGCAGGAACCAAGCTGGCGTGTGTGTCTGAGAAGGCCGCCTGCAGACCTAAAGAGACCTTTGTTCCATCAACCACACCACTGGGGTTAAAAAGAAGCCCACATTGTCACACCAGTTTTCAGTGAGGACCTAGAAGGTGTGAAATAAATGTGGAGTTTAAACATTTTTTAAAGTTTCCCCAAAATGCCCTCAGTCTCTACTGAAAAGACAAAAGCCTGAGGCGGCCCTCAGTTAACACTTTGCGCTCCCACCCTATTTTGGCCCCGGTTCTCCCCACCCTACCCTGAAGAACCGCCCTGCAACCCTGACTATACCACTCTCCTCCCTAAGGTTACTGCCTCTGAACCGCCCCAGAGACTCTCTCCTATGCCTGTTTCTTACTTTTCTTTCTTTCTTTCTTTCTTTTTTTTTGTTTTTGGAAGTACTGGGGGTCGAACCCAGGACCTCCTGCGTGCCAAGCATGCACTCTAGCACTGAGCTATACCCACCACCCCCCGTCTTAATTTAAACTCCATTCTCCCACCAGTTTGGAATTCGAAAAGGAAGCTGTCCCACGAAGTGACTTTCCTTTCACTGGATATGAAGGAACCCTGGAAAGAGCATACTGTTTTGAGAAGATCAGATGTCTTCTAGGTCCCTTCCAATTAATAGTTTATTATTACACAGACTGATGCTAAGCAGTGAATGACAAATACGTTGCTCTCAAAAATCTGCACCCCACTACAGAGGTGTCTGCTGGCTACGTCCCTGGTGGGATTTGAGGTAGTGCTGGGATGTTTACATCCCGCTACTCAGCCTCCTGTTTCTTGGCACATGGCTGGTCTGGGGAGAGGAAAAACCAGGAAGCCTTTGTGAAACTCAGCCACCTGTGAGTGGGTGAGGAAGTAAACGCAGGGGGAAAATGAAACGAACAGGAAGCCTCTCCAAGGCCACTCAAAAAACCCCTACATTCACAACTGGAGGGGGCCTGGTGTGTGGATGCCACTTGTGGCCACAGACTTCCCTCCCTGCAGGCAGACTCAGTCAAAAGAGGTCAGCCAACATTCAGCAGCTTTCCCCAACAGCTTCCTCACTGGAATTGAAGATTTCAGTTGCCCAGCTCCAAAATAAAATAATAATAATAACCACCAGCACCATAACAGCTCTCTCCTTAGGCCACAATCTCCACCCTTTCTGCCCTTATTTATCTCAAAAGAAGAAAATCTCTAGGCTTCACTTGGCTCAACAGTGGAGAATATTCACCACTGAAAAACATAACACAAATGTAAATAATATGTTTGCAAGAAGAAAAGCCATACCACGAAGGAAAGTGGAGCCAAAAAAATCCTTGCTATCACCTCTAACCCCTAACCTTCCCCCAGATATGTGTCTCCACAAACGTCTCAATTTCCTCACCTACAGTAGCTTTTATTCAAGCAACTGAGTAAAAAGTAAGTGAACTACATCTTATTGAATTTCACTGTGTTTTCTGTTTAATTAATCAAAAAAGTGTATACAGTAGTTTTCCTTTCATTCATTTCCTTGCAAATATAAGATAATTTAAAAGGTTTTTGTGAGCTGACCTGGCACCTAAACACTTCCAGCACCATCCCATCACCAAACATGCTAAAACAATTGACTGACTTTTAGAATCAACCCACTTATATTCAGAATATAGCCTCTGCCTACATGTTAGGAAGGAAGCTTTGTACCGGGAGTATCAAATGAGCACAAGCTAGGCACCAGGGAGACAGACGGCAGGAATGCCAGCAAAATGTGCCTGAACTTAAAGTTGGTGAAGGCTTTCTCATCCGTCAGTATCTGGGCTTTCAATACCAACTTATTCTTAAAGAAGGACTGTTTATCAGTTAGAATCATCTCACAAAACTGGAAAAAAGATTAAAAACACAAGCCAATACTTTAAGCATTGCTCTCTAGAAAAACAGAGCATGTCTAGGCACGTTTAAGGGCACAGCTTCTATAATATGTAGCCAAATAATGGGTATCAACGGGCAGATTTTTCTTGACTATTGAAGTCAGGAAAATTTCCTCCCCTAGAATGGCTCTGATTGGCAGATATTTTCTAAGAGAGGACAGCTGAGGCCTGTGGTCATTTTACATCAATGGTTCTAGCTGAGATGGTCTCCTCTCCCCCCTTACACACCCTTTTCTTTCTTTTTTGCCAATCCCTATGGCTACATCCAAACCTGCTACCCAAAATGTGCTGACGGCAGTGGCTTAAAGGGACAGGAATCACCACAAAAGAACACACGCACTTGGAGTGCATGGCTTACGCAACTCATTGATTGAATATGCCTATGGTGATTTTTCTCAAAAGAACTTGTCAGATTAAAATTATAAATGACTTGAAACTGCTGGTATCTGTTTCATTTGGCTATTAGGGTGGTCACGATGTCTAACTGAGGAAGGAGAAAATGACAAAATGTCCCAGGAGTCAATAGACCATGGTTTTGCTTGATGTTACTGACTAAAATTAACCCCTAACTTGATTGATTGGAGGCAGCATCAACTGCTTATTCTATTCTGTGAGATAAAAGGGAAATCAAACAGAACATATACATAAATGGACAGACAGATAAACATATAAGACACAGTACTACCTAGGTTTAAAATTAAGTTATAAACTCTGAAATAGAATATGTTTACTATGGTTAACAGACATATCCCACATACAAATTTAGCAACAACTCATCATATTAGATGTCATGACCTTTGGCACTGGCATTTACCAGTATCGTTTCAGATAGCCCTGGTAAAGATGGCAGAAGTAATTTAATCTGTAAAAGTCCAAGTCCCAAACAGAACTGCACTTCTAAAATAGCTTCAGCATAAACAACGTCTTTTCACACTTACTTTTAAGGAACTAAGGAAATATTTTTAAAAAAATAGTGCATCAAGCATGTTCAGTGGGTGAGGATGAGTTTCAACAGCAAGTCAGTCAATAACACCTGCAACACATATACCTAGGGAAGCTTGAATAGTAATGTGCTCACAGTTAAAAATGAAAAAAACTAGAGTAACCTATTCAATACCGTCCATCTTTAGGAGGTAACACTAAAAATGAGCTTCTCTTTTTTTAATTTTCACGAGTCAGCAAATTGAGTCTTTCTACCATGTGTTTTTAACGTGGTATTTCCCACTCAAGACATGGGACTTCAAGCAAGGCGGCTGGCTCCACCCTCTTCTAGCACAAAGAAATGGAAGCAGCAAGTGCAAGAAAACTCAAGGTTTCAAGGTTCTCACAAAAATGTAGGATACGAGTAGTTCATAGGAAGCTTATCTATAAATAGCTTCCTAAAGTCTTCACCTCCATCTTTGAATCAGGAATGCACCAACCAGCTGGCATCACGAAATGCCCTAGTGACATGAGGAAGGAGGGACAAGAGACTAACACTAACTACTGAGGTCAGTATTTCAAGCCTGAAAAGAACAAACCCATTCACCAAAGTTGTTTCTCAGCATCAATTTGGACTATGCAAAGGCATAGTTGTAGTGCCAAGAGGGAAAAAACCAAAATGAAAATGAACTGAACACTTTAAATTATTTAGAAATTTCATGCCAATCTCACTTTCATGGCCTTCTCCCACTAAAAATTTTGCCCAGTATTAAGTAGAACTACATGAGTAACAAAACCTAGCAAAAATAAAACCAAGATTCCAAGTTGGGCCTTTTGTAGAGGCTCTTTCTTTTCCATTTCCTTTCTCAGCTGCCTGCCTTCTAATAAGACAAACTCTTGGCAGGAACATAGAAGGTATCCAGACATTTGGATGAATTAGACAAGGAAAGTCTAAATGAATAAACTCTGGCACTCAGAAATGAAGCAGTCTTTTGAGACCAAAGAGCCAAAACAGAGGCTAAATAACATAATGCTTTCTGATAAAGAAATTTACTTTTTAAAAAATGAGATACACACAGTTCTCAAGGATCGTTAAGGCAGTATTTTAAATTGGTGTCTTTCAGATCAAGCTGAGACAGTAATTTCTAAACAAAACCATCAGCCTGCGCACGCCCCACACACAATTCTTTAACAGATCTAAGTTTCATATTACAATCAATGCATGTACAATTACTTACTTGCTTCCTTCTGTAATGAGCAAACTGAGAGAGGCCTAGAACAGTTGCAACAGCACCTCCTCCAACAAGAATAGTCCCTTTCACTGCCTTTTGAAATGCCATTTCTTAGCCTACAAAGACAAGGAAAAAAGGAAACAAAAAAAGTTTATTAGGATTTTTATCACACAACAATCCAATAGTAAAAAGAGACTGTGTCGATTATGAAATTATGTTAAACTAGAAAAGAAACATACGATAAGGAATTTACTAATGTACCAATTTGCAAACCACAATTCAAAAACACTACACAAAAAACCCTAGGGAACTGACTATATAAAAGTTACCATCCAACAGGAATTAAAGAAAGGAAAATTAAGATACAACTGAGGATATTTAAATAGTATAAAGTCAAGAGAGCTGTGAAAAGAAATGTCATTGTGTATCTGAGAAAACCACATGCTGGACTTGCAAGTTTGTTCAACCATTAATCCCCTCCACAAAAAGAATTGGTCAAAGTCTTCTGTCACTCATCGTGACAATGAACCTCACGCCTGCTTCAGGTTCTTTGGCAAGTGCTTAATTCAGCTCTGGTACAACTCCCTTCCTGAGTTTCCCTCTTCCGAATGAAGTTCTCACTAGAACTGAAAGCCAACACGCTTACATTTCTATCCCTAGGAGAGTCTACACTTTACAGATAAAAAGTCAATGAAAACCATGCCTTGATCCTTTTATAAAATGACAGATTTAACACTGCTGCAATTCCTTTCATTAAAGGAACTTTAAAAAAAAAGGTTTCTTCCAGCCAGAGTGGCATGACACCACAATTTCAAAGGGAAACTCTCCAGATCAAGCACTCTTTTGTGCTTACTGTATATTTCTAGATAAAATCTTGCACTGTGTTAGCTCTTGACTTTCTTCTCACTTGTTTAAAAAAATTTCTTTTCTGCTCTTGGACTGATTAAAATTTCTTTAGAATTTTTTTTTTTTGAGGATTTAAATAGTCTAACTTTTTCAGGAACCGAAAAGAAAAAAAAGATGAAAAAAGAAAATTCAACAAAAAAAACCCTCCTGTTTAGTCTGCTAAACAAACAAACAAAGGCAAAACTATGTGATCACCTAAAAAAATTCTAACTTAAGAGTTGTTATAGAGCAACTTGACCTGCCTAAGCCTTTCACTCACAATAGCAGCTGGCACACCCACATCTTACAGGGAAGGCACTACCCCACTTTCCTGAATGGGCCTAGGACTGACCCGTCTGGACAACGCACCTTATCTACAAACAACCCATGACCCAAGAAAGTATTGAATATGAAGTCAGTTTTAACCTAGGATAGTAAAGAACATATAGTATCTCAATGTAACTTATGATACAGTTAAAATCTGAGTTCATATTGAATGGATACAGTCTATCAGCATAACTAGCCTAAATCAAAGAATTTCTGTGCAGTTGGTAACTATGATTCTACAGAAAATTCATTTTGGAATACTATAAATTATATACTAAAATAAAAGTTGGCATTTCTTAAAATTTTATTTTTCCTCTGATCTCATTTTTTTTTATGAACTCCTAAATTCTAAGACTCATCTTTATTTTTAAGATTCTCACCAGAAAAATATTTCACACGTGTATGTTCTCGGCTGCTGGAAGTCTCTTCTTTCCGGTCCCTTCTCTACATCAACCATCCCCTCTCCCAAGTTATGCAAAACGGTTAGTATATGCAGGCTAGGGCTTCCATTCATCATTTGGTCAACTCTAAGCAAAATCTAATGTCCATGGTTGCTCTAATAGTAAACAACACAACTTAGCCAACTTGGAAGGCACCCATTTGTCACAGTTCACCATCACCACTCCTAATACTGCTATAACCGTTCACATGTGTGCCTATCACACAGTAGAAACTCATGCTATCCCCAGGCTAGCTGAGTTCCCCTGACAATTAGGGACAGAGAATAGAGACCCAGCTCTATTTACCTAAACAACGCTGGTGCCCACCCCATATAGATAGCAGCCTGGCAGTCCTTTGGATGTGAGTTTGGTATGTGGCTGATTTTAGCTCAGTCTCCTTGCTTCTGTCTTGTGGATAATGTCACCGATGACCTCACAAAGGATACCACACTTTAGTAGCGCCAACTGAGGGATGTTGTACAATACAGTCAATGAAAGTGTCTCAGCAGAGGCGCTCATTCAGCCAGATAAGTTTGGAGCTAGTTTTTCCAACTGTATAGATCCCAACATTCCCTGCTCACCTTGGTATATTGCTTCAATTTGATTTGTCTGAAACCAAAACATGCTAAGGAGGGTATCTTTATGGGTTTTCTCAATGAGCCACTAATAGTACGGAAAAAACTGCATTCATATATTATTCTGTGGAGTTAGCAATAATATTGGCTAATAGTTTCCTTTTTCAGTATTTTCATAAAATAACCTATGCCTAGGGGATATTATTATTTCTATTGTGATCAAATTCGTCTGTAAGATAATCTAGCTAGTTGTTATGAATAAATCACTCTTACAGGTAATTCAAAAACAAAAGCACAGAATCAATTTCACCTGGCTCTCCTAACATTATCATCATCATCACCATCATTATTATTAATGTTATAATGACAATGGTTACCATTTATTAACTTAATTGCTCGGTAACAGGTACCATGTTTTTAATTCTTTACATACATCAGCTCATATTACCCTCACAACATCATAATTTCATAAGAAGGGCACCTGCAGTTCAAAGGGAGCAGGGGATTTGTCCTAGGTCACTCCCTAGTAAGTGTCAAAAAACACAATTTAGTCTTCGCTTTTAATTACTAGGTGGTTCTGCCCTGCCTTTGCTCTGAAAGGCAACCTCTCCCCAAGAGCCACACCATATTTTGCTATTACACCCAAAATAAGACTCTACTCAGAAGCATTCACCCAGAGAGTTCCTCAGCATTACGGTTTCTCTAAGGCACTGAAGAAGACTGACAAAATATCTACTAGTGACCTTCTGCCAGATAATGTGAAAACTTCATTTTAATGTTGAAAGAAAGAAATGTAAAAACAGATTAATATAAACCATATGCTGTGAACTATTCGTATCCATTTGCATTCCATTACAAAGAGAAAAGTCTTCATAATGTTACCAAGAGGAAAAGACTGCTTCCTTCTAGATAAAACCTGCAACCAGGAAGTTAGCAAAGACTGGGAACACAAATGTCAATAAATCTTTACCTCTTGCAAGTAAAAGTGTGAGAAAACTAGAGGTAGGAAAGAAAACTGGAGTTAGGAAAGAAAACCAGAGTTAGAAAAATCATCCAAAGATAAGAATAGCTTAGTTATCATGGTGTGATAGCCATGTTTAATAGCCCATGAATTAAATCACATATACATTGACTCAAGACTGGCTCCTCATTTGCACAGACCAATGCCAGCCCCCAATTCTTGTGAGAACACCAGGCCAACTAAACAAAACCCTAAATAAAAAGGCACACAACTAAATATAATCTGTGAGTTTATCAACCTTTCAAGGGGCTTACAATCAATTTGGAGGATTAAATATCAAAATGTGTCTTATAACACTGTCTTATTAACTAGTTGTGCTATACTGAGTGTTAATAATACTTTGATAGACAAAAGACCCTGAATGGACAAAGCAATCTTGAAAAAGAAGAACAAAGCTGGAGGCATCAAATTCCTGATTTCAAACAATATTGCAATGCTATAGTAATCAAAACATTATGGTACTGACGTGAAAACAAAAAACCCCAACTCATAGAAACAGAG